AGCAGGGAGCTGCCCTGACCGAGGAGCAGGGAGCAGCCCTGACGGAGGAGCGGGGAGCAGCCCTGACCGAGGAGCGGGGAGCAGCCCTGACGGAGGAGCGGGGAGCAGCCCTGACGGAGGAGCGGGGAGCTGCCCTGACCGAGGAGCGGGGAGCAGCCCTGACGGAGGAGCGGGGAGCAGCCCTGACCGAGGAGCGGGGAGCAGCCCTGACCGAGGAGCGGGGGGCAGCCCTGACGGAGGAGCGTGGGGCAGCCCTGACCGAGGAGCGGGGAGCTGCCGAAGGGTGCCTCCCCTGAACCCAGGTCTCTGCAACGTCCCCTAGAGGGCAGGTGTCCAGGACCAGGGCCCCACAAGCAAGGGGTCCACTAGTGGGGACATGAGGGCGCGGTGAGGTGACGCGGTTACCCAGGGCCTTGGAAGCATCGCCTGCTGCTCGGCTCACCCCCCGAGGGGCCCCAAGAAGCCAGTGGGTGTCACAGCCACCCCCAGTCTTCAGCTGGGAGCGGCACACGGGCACACTCACGTTTACACTCTGAGCACATGTCCAGAGAGGTGCAGAGGCAGCTTACACACGAGCGGACAGGGACGTGGTTAGGAAGACGCGATAAAGGAATAATTACGACCACGAAGAGCCGGGGGACCCCGAGTACTAAGGGAGCCCTGGACTGGGCGAGCAGGCTCCACACCTCCCAGGACACAGAGGTGGACAGACGAAGCCCACGAGCGGCCCTCGTGGCCGAAACACAGGGGCTCTGGGGCTAAAGTAGCTTTCCTGGCGTGACATTTTAGGAGGAATTTGCTCCGTGAGCCCCACTCAGTTCCTGCGAGAGACAACAACCTTGTCTCACAACAAATACACAACCCTGGATGACGCGAACTCTCAAAGGCTCTGAACAGACACTGGGCTCCCCATCACCCGGGAGACGCTACTGCCCCTCGTCCAGCCCCGCGACCACGGCTTGACTTCCCCAGAGAAAGTCCTGGGAAGCTGGCTGCCTCCTTGAGCTGCCCGGGCGCAGGTCTCCCCTGGAGACCCCAGAGAGCAAAGCTCGGCTTTGTGTCCCCGAGGTCGGGCGGGCAAGGTGACCTGGTTAATGAAGGACGGGCGTCCATCCTCCCGAGGGGCACAGCCTGAAGGTGGGAATGTTTTCCCAGCAAAGACTTAGGAAAGCACCCCAAACGACGCCGTACAATCTCCCACCTGCGCCCCAGTCCTCGGCATGGGGGCTGCGGACCACCAGGGACAGGGGATGTCCTGGAATGTTCCAGAAGCACAGCTGGGCCTCAGCACGGGCCAGTTTGTGGGGCAGGAATGGTGGCTGGGCTGTCAGGGAGCCGTGTCCTGCCGGGACGCCCTGGGCCATGCTGGCCTCCCACCGCCACCTGGGACCTGGATGAAGAGGCAGCGTGGGCTGTTGAAAATAAGCAAACACCACTTTCTCATAAACCCGAGCTCTCACGTGAAGGCCTGGGAGCCTGGCAGGCAGAACACCGTCCCCGCCGTAGGACAGCCAGGGCGAGGCCAGCCCTGCAGCCGCGGCCGTGTGCTCCCTCTTGTGGCGGCGCAGCCCGGGGGACCCACCTGTAGGCCTGCAGCAGGAACATCTGGAACACATTTGTGAAGACCGTCTGGAGACTGTTCACCTGGAGCCACAAGGAGAGAGACGGAGGGGAGATCCTGGGATTCAAGTCCCTGTCTTGCCCTTTATCTTCTTGTCAAACGGAGTAAGATAGAGGACCAGTGACAAGAAACCATCGTCTCTCCAGTGAGATCCCGCCGAGTCCTCACTCACTGGGGGGCCCGGACTCCGCTGGGGCCGCCTGAGGGCACCAGCAGGAAGGGACAAGGGGGCGGCGCCCAGCCTGGCCAGGAGGATGTCCTGGGCCCCACGGCTCTGGAGCCTGAGCCAACAGAGGCCTCGGACCCCCACACCCTGTGAGGAAGGGCCCTGGGGCCGAGGATGGTGGGGCCCGAGGGGCGTGGGGGCAAGGGGCCCTCGACACACACACACAACACACAATAACGGGACCCATGAACCACGCAAGCCTCACGGCGAACCTAAGCCAGCGGTCTCCGCGTCTGAAGTCTGCTGCCTGTTGGCAGCGCGCTCACCTGCAGGTCCAGGAACAGCCCGTGACACTTCAGCCGCAAGAGCGAGAAGAGCTTGCGACGCATGTTCCTGCCGGCCTTGAGGCCCTGCTGGAAGGTGAGGCTCGCTCTGATGGAGGTCCGGGCGTAACTGCAACACGACGGCGGGCATGAACCTCGCGAGTCCAGACATGCAGGCCACCCACCCCACGCCATCAAACGCTGCTCTGATCACACCTCATGTGCGGGTGTCCACCCACACAACCAGGAGACGAAGGATGCCCCCTGACTCTGACACCCCCTCGGCCTGACCCCGCCGACCAGCCACGCAGTCATTGGTGGGAAACGTGAGCGTCAGGACGTGTGAGGAAAGGGCCCCGCTCACCACAACCGCGGGCACCATGCCACTCACTGCCTGCACGCAGGCATCCACAACGAGCAGACGAGACACAGTCTACACTCCAGGTGGGATCTTTTATATCAGCTTTAAACACTCTTATCTCGAAATAAGTTTCTCATTATATCACATATTCTTTGAAAACAACTTTAACGCAGAATAAGGCTTCTTCTCGGTGACATATCACATCTACTCAGCTGTTTATGTCGGTTGTTTCGTCTCTGTGCTAAGGCACCCTACCCCGAGCACTTAAAACGGTCAAATAAAACCTCTGATCACGTCTCTGACTTTTCCTTCAGGACAGATTTCTAGAAGTGGAATTACTGGGAAAACGTCTGAACATTTTAAGAACTTGAACACAAATTGGCAGCTTTCCAGAAAAGTCATCCCGTTTGCCACACCCTCAGAAATGAGTGAAGTGTCCTCGCCCAACTCCAGCGCCCGCAACGGGAGAGCGCAGAGGAACCGTCATCGTGAGGGAAATGGGGCCTCGGGCTGTTGTGGCAGAACTGGGCCTGGAGGGCGGGGGGAGCTGGACCCCTGGGGAGGCTGAGCGGAGGCCCGAAGATAGGGAGACAGAGCCGGGGAGCCGGGCAGGGAACGGGGTCAGAAGACAGAAGCATGGACACAGGGCCGCACAACAGCAGCAGGAGGCCAGAGAGACAGACAGACGCATCTGGACCACACACAGAAAGGGCCTGCACCTGCCTCTCCCCTTTCAGAGCAAATTCCCAAAGAGCCTGGGAAACGGGACAACTGTGGACCTGAGTGTCCAGGCCAGGACAACTGGAATTACAACACAGGAGGGACGCCCGCCTTCTACCACGGCTCTGGAGTCTGTGCTATTCATTCATGAGTGAGCACAGGTTCCTCATCTGTGTCCGTCCTGAGTCCATTCACGTCTGTGCAGGGCCTGAGGCTGGGCTGTGAGCTCCCAGGCTCAGAGGAAATGCCCTGTTAGGGGCTGAACTATGTCCCCCAAATTCATAGGATGAAGCCCTGACCCCATGTCTGGAGATGGGGCCGTTAAGAAGGTAACTGAGGTTAGATGAGGTCATTATGGTAGGGCCCTAATCCAGAGTGACAGGTGTCCTTCTAGAAAGAGGAGACACCAGAGATGCTCAAACACACAGGGATGACCATGTGAAGACATGGGGACAAGACGCTGTCTACAAGCTGAAGAGAGAGGCCTCAGAAGGAACCAGCCCTGGCCACACCTGGATCTCGGACTTCCAGCCTCCAGAACTAAGAGGACATAAATTTCTGCTGTGTACACCGCCCCGTCTGTGGTATGTTCTATGGCAGCCTAAGCTGACTACAACAGGGGCCCATGGTATCACGCACAGAGCAGGCCCCATGCGCCACAGCCCTGCTTCCCCAACGGACCAGAGGTGACCACAAATTCATAACGTCCGGTGAGGCCACGGACCGGCATTAAAGCATGTGCCCTAAAGACACTCATGTCCAGCAGGTCCTGAAATCTCTGGGTTCAGATCTCACTGCCTCCCCACAGAACGTGCTGGTGCCCCCAAGTCTGCCACACAGTCTTTTACCAAAAATCCCAGACAACTGCTCACCTAGAGAGTCCCCTCACTCCCACAGAAGGACGTGCTTCTGCCCTCCTCTGGACGGGAAGACAGGCCTCTGACCTTTCGGGGTCGCAGCCACCTGTGGCACACGGAAACAGGAACGGGACTGGACTGACCGTGTCCACCTGCCGGGCGTGCTCACCTGGAGTAGTCGCAGAACACCTCCAGGGTCCGAGTGTCCAGCAGCAAGCCGCACCAGGGGAACAGGCAGTGGGCCGGCAGCTGGAGGGGGGCTGCGCCACCCAGGGCGCCGCCGTCCACAGGGAAGTTCACCACCGTCTTCCGCAAATTTGCCACGCAGCCATACTCGGGTACGCCTCTGACCAGCGTCCTGAAGCAGAGAGGCCATGTCAGCCTCCAGGAGGAGAGGGAGGCCGTCTGGGCATCTCGGAAGCACTCGTCCAATGCTACATAAACCCAGAGAGGTAGCCGGGTAGTGGAGGGCTGGAGCGGGCAGGCACCAAGGAAGGTCAGACCAGCCCTGCACTGGCCTCCAGGTGCTTGTCGCCAAAGCTTTCTGGAGACTGGGTGCCAACGATCAGAGACCAGGCCCAGGGAAGGGCAGAGGCAGGCAGCAGGGTACGGAGCATGGAGTCCCCACAGACCAGGGCTGGATCCTGAAGGATGTGCAGAAGCCTGGATGACCCTGTTCACAGGTGAGCAGTGAGCATGGGAGCCCGGCTGAGAACTGGGAGAGGCAGGGCTCGGAGGGCAGAGGCCAAGAGGTCACATCCTCTCTGCGATGGCCAGTTGACGTGTCCACTCGGTGCAGCCATGGTGCTCAGGTGTGTAAACTCGAGTCTGGGTGCAGCTGGGGTGTTTCATAGACGTGGTAGACATCCACAATCAGCCGGCTTTAAGGGGCTTATTTTCCGCAGCGGGGCAGGCTCACCCATCAGTGCAGGGGCCCAAAGAGCAGAACTGGGGAGCCCCTCTGACTGCAGCATGAGCCCCCGCCCATCTGCCGCTTGCCCTATGGATTTCAGACTTGCTTAGCATCCCCACTGTCGTGTGGGCCGATTCCTCGCAAAAAACTGCCTCCTGGATATGTCTATCTGCCCCCAGTGGTCTGTCTCCTGGCGGGGTGGGTACCCCAACTGACACACTCTGAGCCACCTCCCTGCCCAACACCCTCAGAGCAGTGCCCTCCCCCAGAACTTTCCACAATGGAGGCGACATTCTCTGTGCTGTCCCCTCTCGCAGTCACTGGCCACATGTGACTACTGAGCTCTCTGAATGTGGCTGGTGCCCCCGAGGACCCGGATTTGTCATTTGAATAACTTTGATGAATTTACACTTGCACGGCATCCTGCACTGCCGTGTGTGACATCAAACCCTTGAGCATGCAGCAGACTTCGCACTGGCCGAGCCCTGCAGAGTACCTCCGTGGGCAGACTCGGGGTGCGGGGACAGTGTACAGACGGGTGTCTCCAGAGACAGCCCAGCAACCAAAGCAAAGTGGCCCCAGGCAGTGACACTTCTTTAGGGTTCGGTTTTACAACCTTCTCCTCCCTTGGAACAAAACACTTTAAAACAAGCCCCCAGGCCCTGGGGCCCCTGAGAGTGACTGTGCTCTGCAGACCGCAGCTCTAAGGTGAGGATCCCACAGGCCTGACTTTGGTTTGAACAAAATGAACTTTAAGACCAACCCCCCATGCGATCCCCACGCCTCTTAACACATCGTTTTCAAGTCCAAATCCTTCGTTCTCTCCCGAGTGAGCTCCACAAAGAAAGTGCCTCCACGGCGGAAGCCACAGACAAGCGCGCAGGGCTCCTCCTGTGTGCGTCCCTCCCGGCCACCTCCGGGTCTCAGCCCCGGGGCATGGGGATCCGCCGTCACTGCTCTCTCCACCGTCCAATGTGTTCCTGTGCCTGCGACTTCCAAGGAGCCTCCGTGGACCCGCTCCGCCCCGCCTGCTGCCTGAGCCGTGCTCCTTCCGGCGGCACCTGCGACCTGATGACACGCTGATGGCTCCAGGCTCCCACCAGTGACAGGAGGAGGCAACTGCATGCCCGGTTTCCCGGAACGGGACAACTGCGCACTCACCAGAGACGCTGGGATGCCGCGGGGAGCACGGGCGTGAGGCGAGAAGGACGTTATTACGTGAGTTACGTCAGCTGTACACGGGCCACAGAAGAGCCCGCAGAGACACACGCATGCGAGGGCCCTACCTGAGAAAGGCTCTCGCTTGTGTCAGGTGAGGGGTGACCAACAGGAAGTCATCCACCAGGCGCAGGAGCACCCTGAGAGGAGAGACGCCGAGAGGGGCTTCTTTCACACTTGGAACATCACGCCCTTCCTTGGGGGAGTGAATGGTGAGAAACTTAAACATCTGAGTTCACAGGGACGAGAATGAAGTAACCTTCTCCGAAGAGGCTCCGCTAAGACTTAAACCTCTTGTGGGATTCGGCACTGGCCGGGGGCGGACGAGCAGGGGCCCTGCGATCAGGCCGGGCTCCCCAGGCCCCTGGGCCCGTCCAATCAGGACGCAGCCTCAGTCAGATGCCCGGGAAAACGCCCAGCACCCGGCCGCACTAGAAGCCACTCATACCACGTCCCAGGCCCGCTTACTGCCTCCCGTGCGGCTCTGCGTGAAGAGACTGGCTGTGGTTCTGTCTGTCTCTAGAGGACCAGAGAGGCGCGTGGGTGGAAACAAACCAACGCACACAGAAGGGGTCCGTTACCCGTCCCGCTGAACTCCGGAAAGCAGTTTGTTCTCCATATCTCCGTAACACAGGCTGCAGAGGAGAGTGGACAGCACGGACCCCTGGGGGATCCCCCGACACTGGACGTAGGACCTGGGGGGAAAGCGGGGTCAGAAGGGCGGGCAGGCCGCAGCAGGCCTCGCGGCCACATCACACACACGCATACGTGCGCAGACCACATGCACGCACCCACACTCGCACACACACACTCACACACACACCCACACCATGCCCACCCGGGGGGAGTGCGAGCCAAGACCTGTCGCTCTTTCCCACAAAGCCCTGCCTGTCCACACGTGGCACGACCCATGTTTATACAGGTCGCAGCAGGCCAAGGAGTGGGTGGTGCCTCTGGGGGAGGACTAGGGGGTCCCAGGCGTGGCCTTTTCCGTGGAGAAGGCTCTCTTCCGACTGGGGGGCTGTTTCCACGTGTGTGCAGGCACGTCCTCTGTCAGATTCACCCTCTGTGCACCGTGATGGTGTTTCTCCAGGACGTGAACGTTATTTTATATTTCCAATGTAATTCCACTTTAAGAAGTATTACAATCATTTATAACATAATAATAATAATAAAGATAAATCCTTTAACTAAAAGGTTTCCAAACTTGGCGCACAGCTAATGATGGCAGAGAAAGCGCCCGCTTCCAAGCTGACCTCTAACAACCTTCGCTGTGAGCCTGAGGCCCCCCGGACCACCGCTCTCGTCAGACACACGTTAGGGTACTCGTGCTGGGGCTCGCCCAGGGAAGTCTGGGTTTGATTGCACGGTTTAAAAAATTATCTGCTGGCATTTAAGTGCCAAGGGACTTCTCGTAACCATGGGCACCTCGTTTCTGCCACACCAGCCAAGTGGCCGCAGCACAGGGGGTCTTGAGAGGATGATGGGAGGTGGGGAGGACCCCCACTCACTTGCCCCCAATCCTGATGACGTGGTTGTGCACCAGGCGCAGGAAGAAATCGCAGAGGCTGCTGCCGGCCTCGTTCAGAGAGGAGCTCTGGGAAGGGACAGGAGACACGGGTGGGCGGCGGGCCGCAAGGGCGCAGCACAGATGGGTGCTCGCCCCACGCTGGATGCCGCCTTGGGGTCGCCCGTCGATCTGGCTGGGCTCTGACCCATGGCCACCGGCCCGGACAGCTCACGCGGTACACCGGCGGGGCCCCCAGTGGCCAAAGGAAAGTCATCCGAGGTCTCAGAGCCTCATCAGGTGGCCAGGCTTGTCCCTAAACCAGTTCTGCAAAAAGCCACAGAGCTGCAAGGCCGACCCACCCCCAACGGCCCCGGCTCAGGGGAGCAGTCCCACTGATGCAAGCAAAACAGTTTCCCACTTGACAGGTCAGCTCGAGGTGGGTCTACAGTCAAATCCAACTTGTCCTCCGAAAGAAAGGGGACACGCCTCTTTCTGGCTCAAGATGAAAACTGAGGGACAGGACGCCTCCAGCAAATCATGACAAAGCAGCTGGACGCAGCGGAAAACGTGGAGAGGAGGTGGGAAGAACAATTCAGCCAAACGCAGAAGCAGGGCTCGGGGCCCAGGAGGGTGGTGTCCTCGGCCGCGTCCACAGCTCGCTCCTCCCCTCCCCCCAAGTGGTTAGCTGAGTGACCACCACACTGCGCATGGACACTTGTGCCGACCCCCACTAACCTGCTCGATGACCACGGCATCCCTCAGCGAGCTCATCTCCTGCAGATGCTCCACGAACTGTCTCATGTAGGGCCGGAGGTCCGTGAAGGTAGACACCTGCCGGCAAACAGGAGAGGGCGTGAGGGGGTGGACGCCTCCCTCCCTGAGCCCACCTGGGACACCGAGAAGCAGAAGTCACGACACGGATCACCGAGTTGGGTCAGGAACAAAGCCAGGGAGGCTCCGCAGTGTAGCGTGTGTTTGGGAAAAGGAGAACAAAGGCATCGGGACCGGGAAAGTGCTACGAAGTCACAGGGACGTCACCAATGGTCACCTGTGGTCACCTCCCCCATGACCACTATGACCACCCCATAAAACGCCCATGAAAACTGCCTGGGGGCACTGGAGAGGCAAGAAGCAGGCAGGCGTGGGGTCCCAGTCCTCGGGGTGCATCCCACCTTCACCCCAACTTCCCCGAGGCCTGCCTATCTGCCGTGGGAGGGGGAGCCCAAGCAGAAAGTGGGAGGCTATGAGACTGAAGACAGTGGGGGTTCAGGGCCACCAATGCAGCTGGGATTGAGGAGCAGGTCTGGGAGGAGGAGCCACAGAGGAAGGAGCCCAGACAGTGTGGGATTTCTTGTCCAGCCCACGCTGACCCTCAGCTTCAGGTGCTCCGGGGAGACTGATGGAGCGTGGTCATCGCCGCCACCCGGGGCTGAGGGGCCTGGGCCCCCCGAGGGGAGTACACGGAGCTTGGGGGGGACAGTAGAAGGGCCACGGCCAGAGAAGGGGCAAAACACGGTCTAACACCAACCCTTGTGGGAGATAAGGGCCGTCCACCACTCCACTCACGGGAGGGGAGGGCCACCCACTACTCTGTCACAGTTGGGAAAATATCACTCTCTCTGGAGGAAAACGTCATGCAAAATCTGTACTTTAAGAATTTCTATTTACAAAGTCTGGATCTCGTGAAAAAATACCGAGGCATATGAAGAACAGGCCCACGTCCCAGACCTCAAGTGAAACAGCAGAAACCCACCCGCAGTGAGTGGTTACCGAGTCACCGGGACTTAAAATCAAGAAAGATAACGCAGTCAATAGAACAAAGGAAAAGACGAGGAATTTAAGCAGAGACCTGGAACCTGTGAGAAAATTCGCATGGGATTTCCAGAACTGAGAAACAGGACAGTAGAACTTAAGAATTCAGTGAGTGGGTGTAACAGACAATTAGAGAGAGAGGAGCTGAGTGAACTGGAAAACAAGTCTGTAGCAAAAGCCCAGATTTCAGCAGAGATGGGAACAGATTAAAAATACAACGCATAGAATTAATCAAAATGGATCCCAGACGTGAATGTGAAGCTGAGACAATGAACGTTCTACAAGAAAACGCAGAAGAGTGTCGTTGCAACATGGGGGCAGGCGGGTGTATCCAACAGGACACAGCTTCAGCCAAAAAAGGCTGAGAGGGGCCGGCCCAGTGGCATAGTGGTTAAGTTCACATGCTCTGCTTCAGCAGCCCGGGGTTCGCAGGTTCAGATCCCGGGCACGGACTCACACACAGTTCTTCAAGCCACGCTGTGGTGGCATCTCACATATAAAGTAGAGGAAGATGGGCACAGATGTTAGCTCAGGGCTAATTTTCCTCACAAAAAAAGAACAAAACGGCTGAGAAAGTGGACTTCACAAAGTTAAAAACCTCTGTTCATCAAGACTCCACCTGCGACGGAGAAGGCAGACAAGCCAAGAAGGCATCTGCAGTATGTCAGCTGACAGGCGACCCGCATCCAGAACACGCACAGACCTCCCGCTGGTCACCAACACAGGCAGCCAGCCCAGCACAGTGAGGAGGCGACCTGAACAGGCGTCTCACCAGAAAAGACCCACACGGCCCGTACACGGAAGGCGCTCGACCTCCCCCACGTCAGGAGACACAAATCACAGCTGTACACATGGCTCTGCACCCACCAGGACACCTGGGCTCCGACCAGAAGCACAGACACTCGCAGGTGTCGTGAGCGTGAGTGTGACAGGCCCTCTCCTGCAGCACAGGGGAGTGTGACCTGGCACAGCCAGCTGGGGAAAGTCTTTGGCCGTTTATCCCCTAAAATTAAACAAAGCACAGAGTGACCCAGCAACTCCGCCCCTGCAATCTGCCCACAGACACGAGAGCTTCTGTCCACCAAACGGCACCCTGCGGGAACGCCCACAGTGGTGTCGTTCAAACCCTCCAAACTTGGAAACAAATGCCCACCAGCAGCAGAGAGCAGGACCCCACTGTGCCACGTGCCCACGTTGGGACACTGCCCACAACAAGGACAGGCAAGAGCTGCTGCTCCCTGAGGCAGGCTGAATCTCAGACACGCTGCGGAGTGAAGGACGCCGGACGGGAGGGCAAGTTCTGCCCGATTTCACGTTCACGGAAGTCGAGACCGGTGAGTGAGCCCCCGAGACGGAGTCAGAGCAGTGGGCGCCCCGGGGACGGGCAGGGAAAGTCCCTCGGGCCTGGTGACTTCTGTGTCTTGACGTGGCTGGCGGCTGCCATCTGTGTCCACACTCAGAATGTGCAAACCACACCAGCCTGAGCCCAGCCCCGGGGCTTCCCGTGTGGCTTTCCTGAGAATTTGTGGGGGAAGTCCCTCTCTTCTGCACCCTCCTGCCTCCCCCACGGTGCTGCCTATAGGGACTGGGGGCCCTCACGCTCCAACGTGCTCGTGAGGATCAGTTGGAAACCCCCGCACGCTGATGGGGCCTCAGGCACGACCTGAACACCAGTTGTCCTATTCCAGCTCCGCTGAGGCCCGAGGACCCTGGCCACTGTGGGACCACTCAAGCAGGGATGGCAAGCGAGGCCCAGGTGTCCTGGCGAGGCACCCTCTGGCCCTTTCCTCTCCCAGAGCCAGCACAGAGCCCGCCCACGGAGCACACTCAGCCCCTCTTCACAGCCACGGGCCAGGCATGGGCTCCTGGCGGCAGCTGTGGGAAAGCCACCTAAACGTGTACACAGTTCTGCTGCCGCCGGCCTCCTCCTGCTCTGCACAAACCCGATTTTCAGTCCCAGGGGGCCCGAGGCTGTGAAGGGACAGCAGGGGCAAGAGCCAGCTTGAAGAGACGATGAACGTAACATGAAGAAGAGTGAGGGCAATGGGGCATCTCCCAGCACTGGGAGCACCACACAGCGCCCACGGAGGAGGGCCAGGGCCTCAGGGACGTGGACATGCCATAGACACAGCTGCACCAAACACACCTGCATCATGGACAGGCCACAGACACACCTGCACCAGACACACCTGTGCCACGGACACACCTGCACCAGACACACCTGCATCGTGGACATGCCACAGACACACCTGGACCAGACACACCTGTGTCACGGACACGCCTGTGCCACGGACACACCCCTGTGGGATCTTACGTGTCTCTTGAAGGACTTGCGGAAGTGTCCGTCTGCAGTTCTCCGGACCACGGCGTACTGGCGCACACAGTACATGTTCTCTTGGGGCCTGATCACGTTGGCGATCACCTCCGCCAGCCTGTCCTGAGGGAGGGCGTCATATGCCCCCGTCACGTCCACCTACGGGGAGTGCAGATGCTCACATGCTCACCTCCGCCTGTGTCCCCGTGCCCTGGGGTTCTGCCCTGCTAAGCCTGCACGCCGACCTGCCCTGAGCAACACCTGGGGTGAACAGGACATGATGGGTAGGCCCCAAACTCCCTACCCACAGCCCCGTCCCAGCCACACATGCCTGTTGTGCCAGGGAGCTCTGATGGAGACACCCCCATCCCCGACTCTGAGTACCCCAGGGTGGGCCTGCGTCCCTCTCTCTACACCCCTTCCTCCCCCGGCTCTGAGCATCCCCAGGGGGAGCCTGTGTCCCTCTCTCTGAGCTGCAGGCTGATGACCAGGAGGCCCCTGGCAGATGACCAGGGCACAGGGTACCCAGGCACTGGGAGCTGGGCCAGATATGAGTCTTTCTCTGAAAGGGGATCCCCCGTGCTCTGAGCAGGCAGCAGTGTCAGATCCTCCCCACGAACAGGAGCCCTCCATGGAGTCAGGCACAGGGTCATGGAGGCCACGCCAGCAGGGAAGGCCCAAAGCTTCTGTCCCCAGGGGCCGGACACCTCCATATGGAGATGGGGTTGCCTGCCCTCCCTGCTCCCAAGAGAATCTATGGGACACAGATGCAGCTCCTCCAAGGGGCACCTCATTCGGGCAGACACGGGGGTCCTGAAGAAGGCCGGCCACTCCCCACACCCAACCGGGGCCCAGGATGCGGGGTCACCCAGTGGGGGGAGCTCCCAATGCCCAGCTGGTTCACTTGGGGGTGGGGCAGGGATGGGGACCAGAGCCAGGAGCCCACCTTGACAAAGTACAGCAGAGGCGCTGGGTCCTGGGCCCGCACGCGGAGCACGAAGGCACGCCAGGCCCTGTAGATGTCATCCAGGCCCAGCACGGAGGCCCCCAGGAGGCCGGGGCGCCGCGCCCGCTCATAGTTCAGCACGCCGAACAGCGTCTTCACCTTCGAGATGAGATGCTGGGCCTGCAGGGGCCAGCGCAGGAAGGGGCAGCATCGTCAGAGGGTCCCCCACCCCACCCACGGGGCCCCAGGGATGAGAGGCAGTGCCCTGCCTCGGCGCCTGCCCCTGACGCCTCCCCCTGCTCGCCCCGCTTCCCTCAGACTCTGGAAGGGCCAGAATGCCCCCAGACCCCAGGGTCTCCCCAGGGACCCATTGTTGGATCTCAGAAACTCTAGAGGAAAAACTACAATTAGCTACACGTGTGAGCATCTCTACCCACCCATCCCCCCACCACAGACGAGGAGGGATCTGCCTCCTGGGGACCCCACTCCACTAGCGACGAGGACTTCATCTTCACTCAAGACCAAACTAGGTCCCCAGTCGACATCGACAGCTTCGCTTTCTCATTTGGGGGGGCATCACGAATGACAAAATCACCCCAAACACTAGAGGGAGGCACTCAGGAGGGGTCAGAGCCACTGGGACACAGAGACGCCGTGGTGGCTGCATGGAAGGAGCCACGGGGGGCTAACCACGGGCGCGAAGTCCTACGGGGGGGGTCCTCGGAACCCTGGTGGGCTGGTGACAGCTGAGCAGTCTGGTGCTGTCACTGGCTCTCGGAAAGCACGCAGCGGCCCCGCGCTACGGCAGGACCACAGGCACCATGTGGGTCCCGCATGTCACAGGCTGTCACGAGAACTCCGGATTCTCAGAGCGCATCGACCAGCTTCTAGGCCTGGCCTTCCTACGAGCTCCTTCTCTGGACCTGGGAACACGCCCCGTCCACGCGCTCTGCCCTCCCACAGCCCGAGATGCTGCCGGCTCTAGCCTCGTGGCTGTGGGCCCTCCTCCAGGCTGTCTGTGTACGTCCACACCAAGCCTGGGGTTTAAATGCACTTCACTCAAAAGTGAAACAAAAGCGGTGACCTTCTTGTCTCTACGGAAGGTTCTGGCCCCCACAACGTAGTCCATGTTCACGATTGGCCGCAGCCCACTGGGCTTGGGGACGAAGCGGAGTCTGGACGTCAGCAGAGCGGGTCTGGCTTCCTGATGTTGCCTGACCTCCGCTTCCGACAGTTCTCGAAGCTGCACCCTCTCGAAGTGTTGTCTGAAACAGAGGGCTTCATGGGACGTGGCCCCGGGAGAACCAGGGCGGGCAGGCTGGTGAGGACACCAGTGCCCGTGAAGTCGGCAGAGCCCGGACACCCACACCCAGGACGCTGTGGCCACGCCAACACACGGACCAGACGCCGCTGGAGCACCCTCCACGGCAGGTGCCCAGGACCTCCGGTTCCCTCAGGTAGAGAGCCTTGGGTAGTGCAGGCTGGGGCTGGACGGACCCCTGGGCAGCAGGACCCCACATTCCTCCACATGGAACGAGCAGGGGCTCTTGGTGCAGCCGCAGCCGAGAAACAGAATCATCTCCCCGTGGACCCGCCAGCTCCCTCTTGGCCTTCCCCCAAAACTACCCACAGGGAGGGGCTGGGTGCCCCCACCACCTGCCTGCCAGGGCCGAGGATGCTCCCTGGGCTGGTGGCCCCGGCAAAGAAGGGCTCTGAGAGTACAGCCCTTCACGGGACGTGGATACCCACCAGACAGAGCAAAGGTTTCCAGGGTCCCTACAAGGAGTGTCTGAATGGCCACTTTGGATCATGTGCCATGAAATACTTAAATTATTAAATAGAGTGCCCTGAGTACTAACTCAGACCCACGATAAAGGCCTCAGACCCTCTCCCAGACGCAGGACCCGGGTCCCAGCACCACCTGGCTCAGGGTCCCCCTCCCTGTGCAGGGGTCCTGACTCGGGCATGCCGTGGAGCCTGGGAGCCCTGACCTCGCCCCTTCGGGGTCCTCGCCAAGCCCTCTCAGGACACTGGGCACCATGGCTGGGCTGGCCGCAGAAGGGCAGGCCTTATCTTTCAGGCTGTCACATCCCTAACGCAATCCAGCTTATATCCGCTACAATCCTTCAAAATAAACCTAAAACAGCTGCTGAGCAACTGAGACAAATCCATGCGGAGGCCACAGAACCTCGAAGTCGCTGCCTCAGGGTCTGTTTCACAGTGGACGCCTCTGTCCTGACACTTGCCGCAGAAACAGGACACAAGCGCTGTTTATGCTGTGTGAATTCAACAGGATCCGACCCACGCGTCAGGACGAGGAGGAGGTTTGCCAGCACTGCTGTTTCCACTCAGTACTAACTTCTTCCACTTTTGAGACCCCAGAGGTGAGGAAAGGGGGCTTCAGGAGTCTGTGCCCAGTGTGGGACCCTCATGCGCCAGGACCACGACGGAGTCCCCTGGTTCCCGGCCCCGAGAGCCCCACACCCCGCAGAATAGTGGGGGAGATGGACCCATGTGGAGGGGCTGGGGAGCCGGGAGCAGGAGTCAGGGCCAGCGTCTGCGCAGACGGAGGAAACGCAGGGGTGACGCTCGGGCTGTGATACCTGATCCCAATGCTCTGCAACTGGCTCCAGACACTCTTCCGGTAGAAGAAGAGCCGGTTCTTCTGAAACGTGGTCTCTGTGACGTAGAAGAACGACCTAAGCAGCTCGACCACGTACGTGCCCAGCAGCCAGCACAGGAACTTGGCCAGGACCACCTCTCTCAGCCGGTGCTCTGAGGCCGGGACACAGTGGGCCCCTGGAACGAGAAAGGCACGGAGCCACGTCTCACCCAAGGCCCAGCGAGCTTCGCCCGTCTACACTGTCCTCAAGGCAGCCACGGCCGCTGGAAACAGGGCAGGTCCCACTGAGCTATGCAGTCCTCGCAGCCCACACGCCGGCTCTCAGAGACGGGGTAGTGGGAGAATACGGAGCATCTTGTTAATGGCGCTTCTCCTGCCCATGTGTTCCAGCGGCAACAGTTTGGACATACTGGGCTTTAAGGAAACATATTTTTAAGTTGGTTTCACCTTTTCCTTTTTTAACGTGGCTACTAGAGAATTTTAAATTGCATTTGTGGCTCACGTTTTATTTCTGCTGGACAGTGAGGACATGGAGCGTCGGTCATCCGTCCTGGTTACAGGCAGAGACGTGCTCTCCACACGGTGACACAGGCGGACGCTGACCTGTACGATTTCAGGCATCGTCACCAAGCAGCAAGATCCAGAAATGCCTGGGGTTTTCCAGGCTGACCAGCCCAGGTGAGAAGAGCTGCTCACACACTAGTTAAGGGGCACCACACGCCACGGGGGCTCCGACACGCCCCGCAGGCCGGGATGTCTGCCTTCCTTTGCGGTGCTCTGATTTTATTCTATTCACGTAGAGATGTCATGAGAAGAGGGCCACAGGTGTCACCAGGCTGCCACAGGGGCCACGGCACACGTGGAGCCTGGGCTTTACCACCAAGAACCGACATGAAGCAACGTGTAAAGGAGAAGAAAGGGGATCCAGAGGCAGGCGTGGGACAGAAGACAGAATGGTGAACGAAGGAAGAGAAAGAGGGGGTACAGGCAGCAAACCCTGATCACAGGGCGCAGAACAATGGTGTCTGAGGTGGACACAGAGAAGTCAGCGGGAGGAGCAGGAGTGGTGACATCAGACTGACACACACTGAGGCCCGGGCTGCTCGGGAGAAGGTAACCAGTGAGAGAGGGAGACAGAGCAGGTAATTTCTAACTGCCAGGAGGGAAAACCAGAATGAGAACACATGGCGAGAGAGAGCACACAATCATCAGGAAATGAGGAATAAGGACACGGAAAAAGCAGACAAACTGGAAACAGAGAGAAAAGAGAAGCATCCAGACACATCTGTAATCACAGAAAAATGGAAATAAATCGGATTCTCCAGGTCAGCGGCAAAGATGTCAGATTGGACTGAAAAAACATTTAAAATGTCAGCTGCGTGCTGTTAATAAGACATACCTAAAAAATGGTTGAAAATAAAAATTAGACAACAAAAAAAGATATGAGAAGCAAGCAGTGACTAAAAGGAAGCCAGTGCTGCAGCTCTGCCAACAGTGAAAATGGACTTTAATAAAATGCACGCCTAGACGTTCACCAGGAAGATAAAAATCCTAAAACACGCAGGTGCCTAATAAAACCCAATGTAAACACCGTGAGAACAAGAAGAAATGGACAAACCCACCCCGAGTGCGACTGCACACCCTCTCGGTGTTCCGGCACTTTAATAAGCTGGATGTGGTGAACACAGCAACCAGCCACAGGCCTCTAAATACACAAGGAACGTAAACAAGTCTCCACAGCTTCAAATAACTGGGATCATACAGACCACTACACAACTGAGCTGGAAATCCATAACAAAAAGATAATTTAAAATACTCATCCATTTGCACAATAAAAAACACACATCTAAATAACTCGTGATCAAAGAAGAAATCACAGAAGCTAGAAAACACTTAAAACCAATTGATATCAAAATGTGCAGTGACACAGCCCAATGTGGGGTGCAGCTAAAGCAGCACTGAGAGGGAAACACATAGCCAAATGCTCACCGGAGAAGTTAGAAGTGGGATGACTGAGCGACCCTGAAGAAAGAGAGGGAAGGATGTCACTCCAGAAAGAACTTCACCCCCAGAGGGAACTTAGCCAAGTTCAAACAAAGATCCATGAGAGGCCCGACAAGGCCCCCTAGACATCGGGGCTCCACTCTGAAGGTCAAGGGGGCCTCAGCAGGAGGGATACACCCTGACCACAGTTTAGGGAGAGTGATCATGTGGTCAGATGTCAGTTGATGGGACAGGGCCAGTGGAGGCAGAGCGCAGCCTGATCTGCACCCAGGCTAAGACAGCAAAGGTTGCCACCAGCCCAATGAGGGGCCCAGGGGAGAGGCAGTGAGCAAGGGGCCAAGGCACCTCCGAGTTGCCATCAGGAATCCTTTTTTCAACATCTCTAGCAACACTTGGCAGCAGATGTGGACTCCCCAGAAGTCTGGCCTCCAGCGCTGGGGACCAGAGAGCCGAGGGGAGTCAGTGGGCAGCAAGCAGACAGGACAATGGTCAAGGCTGGCTTGACAGAGGCAAATGAGCCCAGGGGGGCTGATGGAGTGCCTGGCAGGGCAGACGACCTGCACAGAGGAAGGGGCGTCCCAGCAGGAAAGGATGGAAGAGGTGACCAGGAAAGGGGGCTCAGAGGCCAACGCCATCCTGTGCATCATTTATTCAGACAGTAGGCAACCGCGGGGCCACAGCCACGGAAAGGGGCACACGCCTGGGCACAGCTCAAGCCAGTGAGGATGCCGGGTGGTCCAGGGGCTGGGTCCCAGCTGCCTGGGAAACAACACCTCCTCGTGCCCACAGGACACAGGGGCACGGCAGACCTCATCTGAAATCGGGGAGCCAAATTACAGAACCCAGACTCTCCTTTCAAAGCAAACTGGAGCCCCAAGGGCACAAACGAGTCATGTGACAACGCATTTGAGCATGACGCCTTCCCAGCTCATCCACGCTGTCACATGTGGCAGGGACTGCTGGCCAAGAGGCGCCAAGTCATGCAAGATGAGAACACCAGAGAGACCAGCAGTACGACGCCACGCTTACACTCAGCAATACCGTTCCGTACCCTTAAACATCTGTTAGGAAGGCAGATCTTATGTGTTTTTTCCCTCCACAATTAAGAAAAAAACCTTAAAAAACCCAGTTGCTGGAAGGTCACCTCGTCCGCATCACCTGGCCGCAGAGCCTCTTGGGGAGCCAGAAAGGGTGTGCCCCGCACCCCCCAACGGAGGCCATGGCAATCGAAATCTTTGGGGATGGGCAGGGCATATTTAAAGTCCCCACCCCAGGAGACTGTAACGTGCAGCCCATGGGCAGACGTGGCTCTGACGAAGGCTCTGCCATTCTTTCTTCTAGGAGTCCTGGGTGTTGTGGGAGTTTGGGGGGGGGGGTCAAGCCGAAAACACTGGGGCCCATGCTGGCCGCTGCTGCACCATCAGGGAGAGGAGGGTGGTGTTGGTGTGCCCACCAGGAAGGCACTGGGAGAGAGGGGGCTGAGTGGTGGCTGGACCAGAGGAACCTCAACATCAAACCGAGAAAACCAAAGCCGGAGGGACACCGCAGCCCCAGCTGCAGCCCCGCCAGCACCCTTGGTGGTGGCCACTTCCCTGAAACAGGAGAGCCCTGCTGCTCCCGTCGCCCTGGCGACCCTTTCCTTCCTAAAGATGGGACTGGGTCCTTGTTCAGGAGACAGTTCTTCTACCCTCCTCTGTCTGCCCTGCCCAGGCACAGCAGACACACATCAAAACTTAAATTCAGATCTGTACGCTGGCTGAGCAGGCGTGGCTGAGCAGGCGTGTCCAGGAAACTCAGGAGGCTTATCTCCCAGCTCCCATTTCTATCAGTGGGGCACCATTTCAAGGTGATAAACCCTGATGTCAAAAAAGGGATCCTGAATAACCCGTCGGCACGCTGAGGAGAACTTCGGACACTTCTGTCTGCTGCCAGAGCCCTACTCCACGTGTGTCCCATCTGCTGTCTGCCAGAACCTGCCTGAGTCCATGAGGGTCTCGTAGGTTTATACGTGGGTCTTACAGTTTTATGAAAACTGGATGGGAGAGGGGATCAGAGGCAGAGAAATCAGATGAGCCACCCGACAGCCACAGGTGGGGTTACCCGCGTAGGGAGGGGCTCTGCTGCGTTCCGGGTGGGGGCCTGATGCTGCAGGGCCGCCGCCTCCTCCCCGGGCTCCTCACCTGGGCTCTGCAGCCAGGCGCAGTCCTGCACTTTCATCTTCCAGGTCAGCTCCTGCGAGGAGAGCTTGGCGTGCTTCCCCAGAGAGACGAACTTCTTCACGTTCCTCAAGAAGCGGCGCTCGTTGTGCCTGGATCCCCAGAGGCCAGCAGGCACCAGCCGGCACAGACAGGCCCGCAGGAACGCGTACACCTGCCAGGGGCTGCTGTGCTGGCGGAGCAGCTGGACGAGGCGCCGCGGGCCTGCGTCCTCCTCCGGGGCCGCCGCTGGCCTCTCCGGGGCGCTGACGCCCACGCCACCGCACCCCTGGTCAGCGGACCCTGCTGGGGTGGCCACGCCCCGCAGCGGACAGTGCGCCCTGAGGAGCGCGCCGTAGGGGCACCGCGCATGGTTCCCAAGCAGCTCTCGGAACAGGGGCCTCATCCGCCAGTAACGCGCGGGCAGGCGGCGCGTCCTGCGGGAAGGCCCTGGCCGCCCGGGCTTCGAGCCCAGAAAGATGGTCTCTACGAGTCTCCGGGCCCCTGCCAGGCTGGGCTGCATGCAGCTGAGCAGGAAGGAAGGGAGCAGCCGTTCCTTGCCGCCAGAGCAGTAGAGGAAGTGCTTGGTCTCGACATACACTCGGGGATCGGGTGCGCCCCGGGGCCGCGGTGACCGCCGCGTGGGTGGGGAGCCGGCCTCGCGCTCTCGGTGCAGAGGGGGGACGGGGAGACGGGTCCTCGGCGGTTCGCCCTCCCAAGACGCGGCTTCCACGGCGGTTTCTCTAGGTGTCACCACGTGGGGATCGGTGTCATTTGGCCCACGTGCCCTGCCCAGGTGCGCCCGGGACACCTGCCCGACGGGCCCCTGCTCCGCCTCCCCGGCTAGGCCACGCCTGGGCCTCTTGGCTGGAGGTGGACTTCCCCCAGAGCTGATGCGACGCCGCCTCCCGCTCCGGGCTGGTGGCCCTGGGGGTCCCCTGGCCCCCACGTCGCCGCCGTTCCAGGTCTGGCGCGTGGGTCGGAGGCCCGTCCGGCTCTCGCCCGCGTGTGGCGTGGGCCGGCGGCAGGGGGACGAGGCAGGCCGAGCCGCGGCGGTGGTGCAGAGATCGTAGAGCGGCGGCCCGCACACCTGGTAGGCGCAGCTCGGGGCCACCAGCAGGTAGAGTGAGCAGCGTGCCAGCAGGTGGGTGAGCACGTCGTCGCCCACGCGGCGCAGCAGCAGCCCCCATGCGCCGCTGCTGCGCACCGTCTCGGTCACCGTGTTGGGCAGGTAGTTGCGCACGTTGGTCGTGAAGGCCACGGGCGGCCCGCCGCGGGCCCCGTCCAGCAGCGCGAAGCCGAAGGCCAGCACGTTCCGCGCGCCGCGCTCGCAGAGCCTCTGCACGACCCTGGCCACCAGCTCCTTCAGGCAGGACACCTGCGGGAGGGGGGGCTCTGACTCGCCGGGGACAAAGGTGACCGGGAACCCGGGGCGCACAGCCCGCGTCCTGCCGTGTTCCCCACGGCCCTCCCTCCCCAACTCCTGCACGCCCGACCCAGGTCCCCGGGGACAGCCCACCTGGCGGAAGGACGGGGCGGCGGGGGGCGGCTGCGCGTCCCAGGGCACGCACACCAGGCACTGGGCCACCAGCGCGCGGAAGGCCTCCGGGTCCCCGCGCCGCACGAGCAGCCGGCCCTCGGGCCCCAGGCGCCGCATGAAGGTCGCTAGTGGCAGCACCTCGCGGTAGCGGCCCCGCAGCAGGGCGCGTACAGCCCGGCACCTGGGCGCGCGCGGCATCGCAGGCGAGGGCGGGGGCCGGGGCTCCACGTGCGCAGACACGCGGCTGCAGCGCGAGCTGCATCCACCTGAGCGCGGCGCGGCAGAGGGAGGGTCGGGGCGGGGGCGGGTCCGCACGGAGGAAGGGGCGGGGCCCGGCGGGGGCCGCGCGGAGGGGCGGGGCTGGAGGGAGGAAGGGGCCGGGTCGCCCAGCGCCCGGGGGCGGGGTCTGGCCGGGCCCGAGGGGCGGGGTCGCGGGAGGCAGGTGCTCGGCCTTTGCCCTCCCTGCGGCCCGCGGATGCCCGCGTCCAGGTGTCATCGAGGACCCGGAGTGCCCCCACCGCCCAGCTGCACCCTGGCAGCCCCCTCACCCCTCCCAGGGTGCAGGGGTCGCAGCAAGGGTCTCACGGCGGAGAGGCTCTGGGGGTTACCCGAGAGAGGGGACCATAACGTGGGTCCCTGAGGGACCTGGTGCGCTCTGCGCCCCCTGGGGAGAGGGTCCTTCTGGGTTGTCACTTTCTCACGTGGGCCGTGACCCTGGCACAGAGAGCTGCTCTGGGGTCCTGCAGAAGGGGTTTGGAAGGAGCAAGACAGCGAACGTGTCACGAGGTGCGTTGGAAAGGAGAAAATGGACACCGCTGCTCCCGCCTGGCGGGGTTGGGGGAAACCGAGGGCAAAGGCGCATCCTCGACGGGCATGAGGTGGTGCTCCCGGAGCTCTTCCTGCCGTGGGCAGTGGTCAGCGGTCAATGGTCAGCGTGCAGTGGGCAGGCCTTGCCACGTGGTCAGTGGGCAGCAGTCAGCTGGCAGTGGTCAGCGGTCAGTGCAGTACTTCCCCTGACGACTTGGTCTCCTTGATCCGGAGCTGTAGTTTCTCTTTCTGGGTTCTTAGGCTTCTGTTGTGGTCCCAACCATACACAAAAACCCCAAATCAGTTCCCTAATAATCAATGATCATGAGGTCATCCACCAAAGGAAGAAGAGAAAATGGAGCCGCAGGCTCCCAATGTGGTGTCACCTGCCCATGGCTGCCTTCATCCCCGAGCCCCCAGAACCACCTGCCCTCCCACACTCTGGGAGGAAGAGGAGACTGGACAGGTCAAGGGATCCGCCTACAGCCTTGCAGTGCCCCACAGAGAGCCAGAAGCCCCCGCCTTGCAGCCAAGGGGTGGCGACCCTCCCCACGAGTCGCCCCTCCCCAGACCCAGGAGGGCAGTTTTGACAATGGCTCGTCACATGAACAGGACAGCTTAGAGGAGTCACCATAATGAGATTCCACCCGAACCCAGACACTGTGGGATGTTCACGTGTGCGTCGCTAAGAAATGGGGAAACTTCTGGGTCTCCAGAGGCCCGTGGCAAACAGTGAACAGGCTGAACAAATGTTAATCTTTCACGAGGTAAGAAACCCAGTCAGGAAATTGTATTCAAGGCTGTGGCATTTAAACAAGCCTCCACTCTCTTCCCTGGACAGACGGCGTCTCATATTTGTCTGCTGGATCGGGGTCTGCCAGGGCTCATGCGACTTGGGATCGGGGCTGTTGTTCTAGACAGAACTGTGTCTAGTGGGCACGGTCAAGGCCCAAGGCTGCGTTTGAGAACTGCTCATTCTGCCACTGGAGGATTTGGGCTGCTTCCGGGAAATTTGCTCTTTTCCAACAACAGTACGTTGGTTCACCTGGAGAAACCAGCATGGAAAACATAATTAAAAAAAAAAAAGAATAGAGGAAACCGAGGCAGAAAACCATGCTGGCGTGATGAACAGTGTGTCAGTATACAGCTCAGATGGAAATCGTCGCCCTCCGGAACGCTCCCTCCAGTGTCCTGTGCACGGTTTCTCTCTGCGAGAAGCTGGTCACGGTCTTAAATCACTGTGTCTTAAGACATGAAAAATGTTCCAAGAAAAAATGTATGTTGTTGGCTTACGAGAAATACAACAGCGAAATCCCGTTCTAGGACTTCCAGAAGGGGACGTGGGCGTCACACTTCACACCTGCTGCTTCCTGATGCATCATCGGTCACTGAAGGAGTGGGAGGAGCCCCCCGCGTGAGTGAGGGGCTCACTAAGGAGCTAGGGGGACCGACATGAAGAGATTTTCAACAGTGTGCCCAGTACCTGGACATTGGGGGTCCCCTGCAGAGACAGTCAGGGAGCCCCCGCTGGACTGCGGGCTGCCCCTTTCTGGTTGCTCCAAGAACCTGTAGAGACACCAACAGGCCACTGGTCCCTGGTCTGCAGATCACAGAGAAACCCACAGAGGCTGAGCCCCGAGCATGGGGAGGAAATAGAATCCGTCACCTCCAGGCTGTGCGGTGACGAGCGCAGGGTCACGTCTGAGTAAGTGGTCAGCGTTGGTCCGTGCATGGGCTCAGTGTTCATGGGGCACCACGTGGCTCCTGGGTCACAGTGACTGGACTGAGGGCTCGGGAGCTGGGTTGGCAGGAGAGCCGGCTCTGGAGGGCAGCACGGGGAGGGGTAGTGACTGTTATGCACTGGCCCACACCCACCCGATGGCATGCCTGGGGCACCTCGCACACCCCGTCTGGCACCCTCTTGGCAGTGTCCTGGGGGAGCACGTGGCTTGTGTCTCAGACCTGCAGCCGGGGGAGGAGCCAAGACGTGGGACAGCAGAATCGGGATCCAGACAGGTCTCAGCGGCCAGAACAGACCCAGTGCCCCATCACAGGATGCACACGGGCTTCTGTCCTCATGGAAGCTGACCACAAAGGGGGTAGCATAACAAAGACTGGGGTCAACACCGTGCCCTTGCTGACAGAAAGGCAGGTGCAATCCCAAGCCCAGCACTGGGGCAGGAGGACAGGACACTGGGACAGACAGGCAGGCCCCCTGGTGCTGCCCTGATCCTCCCGCTCCCTGGTGGAGCCTTCAACGAGGCATCCTCCAAGCTCTCTGTGACCCTCTGCCTCCATCGTCACATCTCCCTCTGTGACCCTGACCCTCCTGCCGCCTCTCACAAGGACCTTCAGATTGATGTAGGGCCATCCGGATGATCCAGGGCCATGCCCCCACCTCAAAATCCTTAACGTACTCCCATCTGTGTAGTCCTGTGCCAGGTGAGGTCACACGGGTGCCAGGACTAGGATGTGCCATCTTTGGGGCATCAGTCTGCCCATGACACAGCGTGGCAGAGACAGTACAGCTGCTGAGAGGGCCCAGTTCTGCCTTGGGCCCCCCAGCACCCCAGTGGTTAACCCCCCGTAACTCACTAACCCGGGCGCGTGGTGAGTGTGTAGTGGTCGATGTCATCTTATCTCCTGTGTAGATTTGTGTGACCAGCACCACCACCAAGATGCGGACTGTCCCACCACCTCCAGGATTGCCCCTGCTGCACTCACAGCCCTCCCGGCCTCCCTGACCCCTGGTGACCACCAGCCTGCTCTGGGGTGAAACTGTGTCATTTCAAGAAGGCTGTATAAATGGCATTGTGTCACGTGAGCTTCCAAGATTGGCTTTCTCTCTCCGTGTAGCTGTGGTGTGTTGATGGTCCACCTCCCTCATGTCTCAGAGCAGCCTTCATTCCGAGGTGTGGGTGTGCACGGTTAATTTAACCGTTCGCCTGTTGAGGGACATTTACTTTTCCCCCCTTTCAAGCTATTACACATAGAGCTGCTATGAACCTTTGTAGATGGGATTTTGTACATAATTACATACATTTTCATTACTCCAGGGTACATGCCCAGGAGTGCAATTGCTGGGTTGTATTGTTTAGTGTTTATGGAAACCACCACACTGTTTTCCAGAGGGGCTGTGCCATTCTGCATTCCCACCAGCCACGTGTGTGAACTCCCATTCCTCTGTCCTCGCCAGCACTGGTGGTGTCACGATTTTTCACTGTAGCCTCTCTGATGGGGTGTAGTGGCCTCTCACGTGGTCCTGAGGGGCCCCGACAATGCAGACTGTGGGAGGGGTCCTGGGGGGGGGTGGCAGGGCGCTGACTGAGCCAGAGTGCGAGGCCAAGACATCAGGACCTGCGCTTGGGGCTCGAGGCTGGTTCTGGCTCAGAGGATGTTGGCCTAGGAGAAAGACAACCTAAGAAGCACTGTTGTTGCAACCAGGCGTGGGGTGAGAGGGGAGAGAAAGCCATGAGGCAGGTTTATGGACCTGGGTGTAGGAAGTGTTTTCTGGAGAAGCAGAGAGAGGCAGAGGGGCCTGACCTCCGTGTGGGCCCGAGGGAGAGCCAAGGGGTTCGTTGGGAGGCGGATGGAGCAGACGACACGGAGCCCCGTCCCTGGTAGCATGGACCCCCATGTAGGGGGGGCTGCCCTACGGAACCTCGGAGTCCATCCTCTGTCTCCCAGGTTCCCTGAATCTAGGGAACCCAATGCTCCACTGCTGTTGTGACCCCATCCTGGGGGCTCAGAGCACCCCCGTTTTATTTTCTCCCCGGGTTCTTCACTCAGGAGTCCGGGCAGGTCCCGGGAGCACAGTGAAGCAGAGATTGTTTCTGCCCCTGCTTTGCGTGGTTTGTCTTACCTGCAGGGGTTCCTGGAACACTCCTTTAGGTCTTAGTGGAAGAGATAAATAACTAGGAATAATGGCCTTCGCTTGTATAGAGCTTTACAACTCACGGAGATTTCGTGCCCACGACCTCCTTGTCTCTGAGCAACCCCGGGAAGCAGGTGGACGGTGCCATCGTCCTTTCTCACAGACTCGGAGTGGGTGGTTCCTGCAAATCCCGATCGTTTGGGGCAGAGCTGGGACTGTGGAGTCCAAGGCCAGTGTACCCCCACACACCCACTGGTTGGGGAGACACAGCACAGCCAGAGAAAGGCAGCGAGTTGGGGGGGGCCTCTGGGGACATGGCTTGCCTGGGCGTCAGAGTCCTGGGTTGACGCCAAGCTCGGCTGCCGGAGCCTCGCTGGGTCTGGCAGCGCCCAGGGAAAACAGCCATGTTTCCCCACTGTCTTGGCAGACGCGTTTACCTTCTGCCCTTGGCAGCTCTGCCCCATTAATCCGTCCTGATCTATTTCCAGGTCTCTGTATACTTTCTCCCGCACCTTAAATCACCTTATGAA